TTAGCCCTCCATGAGACAGAAGACGGCTTAGAGGCCCCGAATGGCCATGCAGCAGCTGGGATTATGGGATGTCTGTTTCTCAGGATAGTGCAAAGGGTTATGGAGGATAGAGAGAGAGACTTCAGCAGGACATAGACACACTTCAGCATCACTTGGAGGAGCTGGGTGATGACCTATGGGATGCCCTTTAAGAATGAGACACAGTTATAGAGAAGACAAGTTGTGCTCCTGGAAGATTCCTGAGCAGCAGCCAGGGGGGAGGCAGCAGGAGAACCTGCACTGCAGGAAGCCGTGGGGGAGGGGGAGGAAAGAGCAGGGCCTTCAGCTCCAGAGATGGTAGAGGACATGTCAGGGGAAGATGAGGGGGTGGGGCCAAGGGCCGATCTGTTGCCAAGGCCACTGCTGGACGCACCAGCCTCTCTTTATTAAAGGCCCGCCTGGTTGTAATTAAGAAAATAAAAACACAACAACCACAGGCTCCTCCTGGGGAGGAGCTGCCCCCTCCCCAGGTTGTGGAGCACTCCATGCCCCACCCCTATACACAGGATGAGCTGGTGGACATGAGCATCTGGGTTTGGCAGAAGCCATAGGAAGCTCTGCCTGCATGGTTTTTGCGTCTTGGGATATGGAGGTGGAAAACATTGTTATGTCAGGTTCTGAAATGGGTAGACTGGCTTCCCTGCCTGAAGACTCACCCTTCCCTCTGGCAGTGGTCGCAAAGTGCCCGTCATACCTCAGGGAATCACTTCTGGTTTGGCTGACAGCAGTCATCAGGGCAGTTTGGCCTAATCAGGGTGAGTTACCATACATACCCACTAGCTGGAAAACATGCAGATCTCCAGCAGGTGTTATGGGAGCTGGGCATGAAAAATATCATCTATAATATGGACACCCAGGGCCTTGATGAGGAGTTGTTCACTGTAGGAATGAGAAATCTGGTGCTCCATACAGCTCTCCCATCTCTCTTTGGGTCCCTAGTGACTATTCTTGCCCCCCACATAGGGCAATCCGTATATGAGGGTCCTTGTACTTTAGCAGGTCTGGGGAAGGTTGAAACAATGAGAGCATGGAAGGAAGTATGGGCTACAACTGAAAGGAGAGGTGCAAAGGGTCCCGTGAAGGTCTTGAGGACCCAGATGTGGGTTGATTTGATAAAGGTGGGTGAAAGAAAAGCTTGATGGGCAGCCCAATGGGATCTTGTTAGACCTGTGGCACCAATTAAAGCCAGAGCAGCAGCAGTACCAGCTGCTGAGATGAAGGACATGAAAACTGGAGGCAAAGCCCATGTCTGGCCTGTGTCCCAGCAAGACTTCCTGGGGGACAGTACTCAGGCTCTGCCTGGTCCCTCAACCCTAGAGGAAGGTAATTGGGCATCATGGTTTGACTGATAGCAGGGGGCAAGGCACCCACCCTGATGGACATGGTGGGGACCAGAGGCCACATGTAAAATTAGCAACTCATTGGTCTGCCATGAATGTAAAATGTGTCCTGGGTCTGGTGGACAGTAGCTGAATGTTCTCTGATTTATGGCAACCCTGAGTGTGTTTCTGGGACCCTTGCTGGGATAGATGGCGATGGGGGTAAGCCAATCAGAGTGAAGAAAGCCCAAATCCCATTGGGGATAGGGTGTTTACTCCCAAAGGAGTATACTGTGTACATTTCTCCCATCCCTAAAGATATCTTGGGAGTCGATATCCTGCAGGGTCTGTGGTTATAGACCACTGCAGGTGAGTTCAGACTGAGAGTACGTGTGGTAAAGGCAGTTCTGAGGGGTACATGCTAAGCACCCCTGTAACTCTGCATGTACCTCTGCAGGTGACAATGCTAAGAGGTATAAATTGTCTGGGGACACAAGGAAATTAGAGAAATTTTACAAAAGTTAGAGAAGGTGGGCATCATAAAGCCCACTAATAGTCCTTTAAATTTCATGGTGCAGCCAGTGAAAAAGTCGGACAGCCTCTTGTGTATGACTGTGGACTACAGGGAATTGAAAAAAGTCACACCCCCTTTGCATGCTGCCATCCCCTCTACAGCAGCCATTCTGGACACCCTCAGCCATGAGCTGGGAGCATATCATTACATTGTAGACCTTGCTAATGCTTTCTTCTCTATTGACATAGCGCAGGAACGTCAAGAATAGTTTGCCTTCACATGGGAAGGCCAGCAGTGGACATACACTGTCCTTCCACAGGGATACCCCCACAGCCCCACCATCTGTCACAGACTTGTAGCCCAGGCCTTGGCCACATGGAGGAAACTGTAAATCGGTGGTTGTTCTCACTACATTGGTGATGTCATGCTCACGACTGATTCTCTTGCAGATTTAGAAGGGGCAGTTCCTAGACTGCTGCAACATCTACAGGAGAAAGGATGGGATGTGAACAACAGTTCAGGGACCTGGTTTGTCTGTAAAATTGTTGGGGGTTGTCTGGTTGGATAAAACTAAAGTTATTCCTGAAGCAGCCGTAGATAAGGTCCAGACTTTCCCTACTGCTACCACTGTGGCAGTCTTATAAGAGTTTTGGGGTCTTTTGGGCTACTGGAGAGTGTTTATCCTGCACTTGGCACAAATTGTGAAGCCCTTATACTGGTTGATATGAAAGGGCATCAGGTGGATTGGGATGAAACGTGCAGCTGCTTTTACTGCTGCTAAGCAAGCAGTCAAGACTGTACAGGCCTTGAGTGTAATAGACTCATCAAGGCCCTGTGAGATAAACGTTCATGTAACTGAAGATGGTTATGGATGGAGCCTTTGGCAGCAGCTTTAATGGACACACCAACCTATTGGATTCTGGTCACACCTCTGGAAAGGAGCAAAGTCTGTTACACCTTGATAGAGAAGCAACTGGCTGCTGACTATCACACCTTGCTGACTATGGAGCCCATCACCAGAACAGCTACAACCAAGGTAATAACCCCCTATCGCATCGCGGGGTGGGTGCGAGACTGGAGCCAAGGGCCATGGAGTGGTGTGGCACAGACACGTACACTGGCCAAATGGTTTGCATATTTGCAGCAGCATAGCACCGTCTCCAGTAGCCCCATAAGTGGAGAGCTCCAATGCTTATTAGGGCCAGTGACATATATGAGTGGAAAGCAGGAAGAATTTGCTTTTGAGCCATTGGTAGCCGAGACTCCTTATCAGGAGGGAAAAGCCCCTATACCTGAAGATGCTTGGTGTACAGATGACTCCAGTTATGGGCAGCCCCTGAAGTGGAGGGCTGTGGCTTTTCATCCTAAGACTGAGACAATATGGATGGAGGATGGAGAGGGGAAGAGCAGCCAGTTGGATGAGTTGCAGGCAGTATGGCTCGTAATCACCCAGGAGTCTTCCCCTATAGTTGTCTGCACTGACAGCTGGGCCATCTATGAGGGATTTACCCTGTGGCTACCATGTCAACTGGATGGTTGGTCACTGCCACTTTGGGGGCAAGAGTTATCGCAAGACCTATGGGCCTCTGGTCAGACTAAGACTGTTACTGTATATCATGTGACTAGCCATTTGCCTTTGGCATCCCCAGGGAATGATGAAGCAGACACATAGGCCCAGTTGTGTTGGCTAGAAGGCAAGCCTACCTCTGATGTGGCCTAATGGTTATATCAGCATTTGTTGTATGTAGGGCCAAAGACAATGTGGGCTGTAGCCTGTCAGTAGGGCTTGCCATTGACCTTTGAAGAAGTCAGCAGAGCCTGGTAGGAGTCCCTTGTGTGCTCTAAGAGCAACTTACACAGAGTCCTGCAGCAACATGGGACAGTAGTATAGGGCCAATACCCCTTATCAGGTGGAGCTAGACTGTATTGGGCCTCTGTCCATTTCAGAAGGGTATCAGTAGGCCATGACGTGTGTGGACACAGCTACTGGGCTGTTGGTTGCTTTTCTTACCCATCATGGAGATCAGCAAACCACCAAAAGAGGCCTAAACCATTTCTTTGCAGCCTATGGCCAGCTGCAGTTGATTGAGAGTGATCAAGGCACCCACTTTACTGGACACACACAGGGGCCATCGCGGATGATGGGGAGCAGGTAGATTGTGAGGTGAGGTTTCTGGAGGGGTGGGCTGTGGGTAAAATTGCAGTTTTTCCAGGATATCTTTCCTGGCCTTAGTGCATTTCCATGTCAATAGGTGTTTCCCAGGGGAGAGAAGTAGTCCATCCCCATATCAATATATGTTTACAAGGGGGAGGGAAGGCATATCTGGACTGGAGAGGTTGGGTGAGGCCCCCGTTTGCAGCCTGTTTGTGAGAGACCTGGTTGAGCCTAAGTGGATGATTGCTTATAAGAAATAAATGGGTTTCTCCCACTTTTTTTTCTCCCTTTGACTGATTTCAGTTGCAAACGTAATTTGCCCCAGGCTGGAAAATATTTTCCCCTCAGAGTTACAGTGGTTAAGTGTCCTTTGTTTTATAATTTATTCATCATAGCTCTAGAATCAATCAAGATTGCAAAACCTAGATGACTCATGAAAACTTTTTATTTTTTTGTTTAAATGTTGAGTATTGGAAGAATAACAAAATAGTAATAAATGGAAAGAATCAGGGAACCATTTAGTCAGTATTCCTGCTTTCATTCTAAGGTGGACTTCATTTTGAGGTTTGAAAACCTGCAGGTATACTGCCATTATGTAAGGGCTTGTAAAGTTGGTCAAAGTAGTTATCTTTCTATGGCTATTTTTTTCTTTTCTTAACCATACAAATCTCAGCCCTCCTACTGCCTCCTTATCTAAGGGGACTTGGACAACTTAAAAACCTTATTTAACAAACATTTGGAGTTTAGTGTAAAATAGTACGCTTTGTGCCCTGGAGAAATATCAAGAAATAGAAGACAAAGGACACAAGTCCCTCGTCTTCTAGATCAAGAAGTTCACGTGAAACGGACGGGCTGTGAGTCTGGTTTACAGTCCGCACCACCTCTCCTTCGTTGGCCGTCAGCTATCACGTACATCAGTTGCGCAACTGCTCTGTATAGTCACCTAACTTTTAAACTGCCACCCTGAGGCGGAAAACGCTGAACATTTTGTTTTCGGTTTTAAATGGGTGGAAGTCAGTAAGGTACATTCCGGTTGCTCTCCGAGATGTTTTCAGAGAGCTTTCCTTCTGTCTCACCGTCCCTTAACCTCACCGGCTCCCGAGGACAATCCACACCCAGCTTCCGGCTTCCGCGTGAAACACCTCCCTGGGCTCCGACCAATGGGCTCGTCTCTTCCGCGCGGTGGGCGGGACCTTGAGCCTGGATTGTGGAGACCCGCCTCCCGTACGAAGCAGGCGTGCGTGGAGCCGCGCGGCGCGGGTTGGTTCTTCAGTGTGTGGCGCCCCCCGGCGGCAGCGGAGCCTCAATGTGATAGCAGCACCGGGCGCGCACCATGGAGCCGCAGAAAGGGGCGCGAACAACCGGAGGCCCCGGTGCGCGGCCGCCGGGGGCCTGGTCTCAGACGCCTAACGAGGAGGAGCGGCGGGAGGGCGGCGCAGAGCCGGCGGTTGCCGCCCCAGGCGCGGGCGCGGAGGCGGGCGGCGCCAGTGCGGGCGGGCTGTGGGAGCTGCCGGTGGAGCCGGCCCAGCGGAGGCCCGAGTGTAGCCGCTGCAGGTGATCGGGGGGAGGCGGGGCAGGAATTGAGGCGGCGGAGGCGTGCGCAGAGGCTGCAGCGCCCCCTGCCGCGGAGGCGGCTGCTTGGCTGCGCCCCGGGAGCCCTGGCTCTGGCTTCCCTCTTGGTTTCTGAAGGTCTCCAGCTATCACTTGTCTCCCTGGTGCCCTTCGCAGTTTCACCTGTTAGTGCTTCTACTTCCTCACCTCGGAACCACTCTGCGGCTTGTCGTCAGATCCTACACTGCGCTGGAATGGTTCTCACTAAAGTGGCAGGGACCTCCAGAGGGAACATCCAGGGCGTCCTTGTCTGTTCATATTTTACCCTCTTGGCAGCATTCGGCCATGGAATACTCACTTCTTGCAGCACTTTTTCTTTGGCTTCTCTTCTCTTGTCTGACTTCTCAGCCCTCGTCGTCTTTGCCTGGTCCTACCCAAACACTAGTTGTTAGGCTTTCCTCAGGTCTTGGTTCTCCATTCTCTTCTCTTCTCACCCCATACACTTCGCGCAAAGTGAACTCCCCAGTATCTTCAGCCAAAAACTTTCTCCTGAACCCCATACCTGAGCGTTCATTTGACCAGTGTTTGTTGAGTGCTTGATCAATCACAGGTAATGCAGTGGAGTCTGTGTCCGCATGGGGTGTTGAGTCGGCTAACTGGCTACAGATAGTAAACCAGTAAACAAGCAATCAAATATGAAATTACATGTTGGAAAACAAAACCCAGCAGTGAAGGAAAGGAATGGGATGCTATGATAGGAAGTTCCAGGATGTTATAAAGATTTCTGAGGAGATAGCATTTATATTGGGATTTGAAAGATGACAAGGATCCGTCCCTGAGACAAGCATTCCAAGAAGGGGAGCCGGACAGACTGGTTGAATGTCTTCACCACTTGAGTACTTGGAATATCGTACTTTGGACATTTGACCTTTTCCCAGGGCTGGATTGCAAGGCCTCAGAGGAAGCAATCTTAAGTGTAAGGATCTTTTTCTATTTTCTAAAGCTACTATGTATAATAGACATTCAATAGCCCTTTGGAAGATATATCATTTGTGTCTAGAAAGGACTGTATTTGAACAGAAGTGGTGTGCTAATGTAATTTATTTAAATAAATTGTCTGAAGATGTTAGGAGACAAACTTAAAAATGCTGTGAAGGATTTGAATGTTGAAAGAAAAGTGTTTCAGATATAAATTCAGGGCTAAATTATGCTAGCTTTATCAGTAGTTTTTAGTCTGTTCAGAACTGCTAATTGTAAATGCTAATATATATTTTAAAAAATGAGTCTCATGTTTAGCAAAGATTTATAATTTTACTGATATGCTTCCCACCTCAATACACTTTATTTTTTAGGACAGTTTTAGATAAACAGTGATAATGAGTGGAAGTTTCTCATATGCCCCCTGTATTATCAGTATTCCCCACAGGAGTGGTGCATTTGTTACAAGTGATGACTATATTGACACATCATTATCATTCGAAAATGTGTCTTTTATTATTTATGTCTTTTATAATTATCACTCAAAACAGCTGTAGTTTACAGTAGGGTTCATTCTTGATGTTTCACATATTTTAACTTTGTATAAATTTATTATAGCTACCATTATAGTAACATACAGTATATTTTCACTGCCCTAAAAATCCTCTTTGCTCTCCTTTTTCATCCCTCCCTACCCCTTAACCTGACTCGCTTTTTAAAAAATAAAAATGACTTGCTGGATATTAGATTGTGTTTCAGCTGTATTTAGTTAATACTTAGAATTATGATTCATTCCAACATTTCTGCACTTTGATTTTCTAATGAAATCTTCGACCTTTTAAAAACTCTTCTTTCTCCTGGCATAGACTGAGAATACAGTTGTAGAAATATGGAGAATATTGAGGTGTTTTCAATAAAGTATTAACTAATTGATGGCTCTTTAAATTTTATTTCATTAGGCTGTTATGGTTTTACTAGTTGCCTGGGTGAACTTCTTTATGTATGTGCTTATAATAGGTTTTACATCTAAAATGTCTTCTTAGATTTGAGTGATCAGTAAGGCATGATTACTTGGCCATTTACTTATAAACGGTATTAATTTCTTTGAACACATTATTATAATTGTCGCAGTCCAGGGGGTCCCAGAAATTGGTTTTGTTGAGAAAGCATAATCTCAGTTTAACTTCTCAGTAGAATCTTGCTCAGTAGAAATACCACATATCTTAAACATGAGTGGAATAGTGTTTAAAAGATCCCATATTAACTTGTTATTGCAAGCTACAGATTGTGTAAAGGTGTGTTCCTTTTTTTAAGGGGACCGGCATGTACAGAAGTAGTGTACACAGTGCAGTGTATGCGGAGAGCTTGCTGGAAAGGAAGGAGTGGAGAGAGATGAGGGTGCAGAGATTTGTGGTAATTGCACTGGGAAGGGCCAGATAAACTATGTCAGGGAGTTTGCGCCTAATGCACTAGAATCCAATAAACCAGCCACCGAAGCATTTCTGTATTTGAATGGTGGTGACAAGTTTGACTTCTGTAAGGGGCTTTAGCTGTCATGATTTTTACTCTGTTTTATTAAAAAAAAAAATGCTTGACTCAGTAAAAGGCTTGACTGGAAAGAGTTAGGGCCTTGTTCTGGTATAGAGGCTAAGGCATCTTAATTATGCCTTCATATCTTTTGTGGATATTGCTTTGAGCCTGAGGACAAGAGTTAGAAATCACTTGCAAATTATTGGTCTTAAGAATGTTGGAATAATGTCTCAATACAGACATTTTTAAAAATTAAAAAAAAAATTTTTTTAAATGTGTCCAAAGGAGGGAAACAGCAGGTGGAGCATGCATACAAACTGATGCAGATAGACCCCAAGGTGGAAATTCTCTCTCCACTGCTTTCTTCCCAAAAAGGTACAAAGTTGTAGTGAGGATTGTAAAAAAACACACCAATATATTTAGCACACAATTATTAAGCACTGAGCATCTGCGGGTTACCTAGCAGGCCTAGGTATTTTATAGACGATACTTTGTTTCTCCTAACAACTTTCTGAAGTTGATGATATTGTTAGCTTTTAAATGATGAGGAGGTAGAGGTAACAAGCAAGTAGTGGAGCTGGGTCTCCAGCTGCAGTCCACTTGGCTCCCAACTCTTACAAGCACTTGACCTTGCTCCATGCTTGCTGGAAAGCCTTATGATTCTGTTTGCAGAGTAGATGTAGGCACCAATTGAAGTGGAGCCACTTAGGCTGCAAGAGTAGCTCTTTAAGCTGAAGTATGTTTACTTCAAGCTTAGTAACAAGAAGCCTGTGCTATTCCCTTTTTTTAAAAAAATTGAGATACAATTGACATGTAACATGTAAGTTTAAGGTGTACAGTGTGTTGGTTTCCTACATTTATTGCAATGCAGTTACCACTGGTAGTGTTCATCATCATCACATAATTATCATTTCTTTTTCTGTGGTGAGATGGTTGTAGATCTAGTCTCAGTTTTGAAGTATGTATATAGTACAGTGTTGTGAACTATAGCCACTATGCTGCACATTAGATCTGCAGAAGTTATTCATCTGGTTTCCAGATTGTAACCTTAACAACATCTAGCACCTTACTCCATGTATTATTTTAACCTTTCATTATTCTTCAGGTGTGGATATTCTGGAGGAAAAAGTGGTAGGGATGAAACCATGAGAGAGGCAAGGAGGAAAGACTGCAGGTGATTAAGCATGTGGGTGCTGCACTCTGGCAGCTCACAGATGTTTTGTTTTGAACTGTATTTTAAAGTTATTAAGTTAATTGCTAACAGTTAAAAGTCAAGATGTTTTTATATAAAAATCCAGATTTCTGGCTTCTCTGAGAATGTGAACATCTTGCAGCTTGGGGCCCACCTTCCTGGCTGTTGGCTGTGCTGAGGATTGGCTGTGCCCGGAAATTAGACGTGATCTGTCCAGGTCACCACAGCTCCCAGTCAGTACTGCTGAATCGGTGTGTTGATTATTAACTCCCCGGACCTCGTTAGCATTTGATTTTTGATTCTGGTCTTTTGTACATCACTGTGGTTGGTCGGCCTGAGAGGCCAGGTAAAATCAGTCTGCAAGTTTGGTAGATAAAAGTGAAAAATGGTAATTCTCAAGACAGTTCAGAATAACTGAGATTGTTGAATTGATGTCAACACTTAGGGTAAAAATACAAGCTGTTTTGGTAAATTTAAAATTAACTTGGTCATCGATAATTTTTAAGGTAAAAACTTAGATAATATGCAAATTTAATTATTTGTGCTTATCAGAAGTTTTGTATTTCCAAGTGAAGGTTATCAAGTTAACTTGTTATTTCCTGTTAGTGCAGAAATGTGTTTGTTTTTTGAAGTAGTTCATTTGCAATATGAGTGGAAAACTGACTCACAAATTACTGTGCAAGCTAATTGTATGTTCAAAGTTGAGCAAAGATGGTCTATGTCAAGAGGGAATTTTTTCCTTAGTCTTAATTAAGTCTCCAAAGAGGAGTGACCAATTGAAAAAACCTCATTAGAGCTTTCTAAATGTTTATTTTCTCTAAGAAAAATAGGAATTATATCATTACCCTCTGATAGAAGTTTTCTTCAAAGAACATCAAAGTACAGTAATTCTTAGTATGTTTGCTCAAATTAATAATTCATAGTTCTGTTAGTGCTTATGCAGTGAGGGAATATATTCAGAAATTGTCTAGTCTAAACTTAAACTTTGATATTATTTAAAAAGAGTTCAGAGATTGCAAGGTGATTTTATGTGTACATTTTATTTTATGGTATACAGTATTATATTAGTTTCAAGTAAACAACATACTGATTTGACAGTTATTTACACTATTAAATGCCCACCCCAATAAGTGTAGTTCCTATCTGCCAACTTAGAAAGATATTACAATATTGTTGTACATGTCCATTTTTATTTAATATGTAAGACAAGTTTGTGGGTTAAATTGTTATTCCCTTTTATAGACTCAAGGTCTGGTGACCAGTAAGCTGCTTTAGCTCTCATATTTTTATTACTATACCACAT